ACAACCACACAAACTATTGCGGGGGCAAACAGTAACGCAAACTTTAACCAAGGGTGCGCAAAATGACATAAACTGCAATGTTGAAGCATAAATGATTAGAAATTAATGTCACCCTTTGCCATCAATAGTGTAATTTATGTTATTGCATGCGCCCTTGGTCGAAGTTTGAGCTGCTGTTTGCACCCGCAATAATTCTTAGGCATAGTTGATGCTATTCCAGCACATTGTTTTTATCATTATCCTTACAAATGTAAATCATAAGATGAAGCGGGACACAAAAGAGAAATCAATTTATTAATTGGTAGGTGGCTACCAGTTAACCATTTAGCCACACTCTTCCACATCCCCCACCCTAAAAAAATTGTCTTATGTCTACTAGCAAAACCTCAAGAGTGGGGAAGGAGGCATCTTCCATGCCTTCCTTCATTTTTCCAACTAGACCCAGGGAGATTCTTGATTTTCGAAATCATATTTAGCAACAAGGTCCACTTTGCTTTATTCTAGATGATATTTCCCTCCATTTAATCATGCAAAGCACCTAAACTTTTCAAGTTTTAACTTAACCAGTTTACCATAAATTCTACGGAGTATATCATAATATTGATTTATAATTACAGAAACAACAAAATTTCAGTTCATTAATTCCCAATGGAACAACACTACAGATAGGAACAAACAGACAAACATTGTAAGAACATAGTTTGATTTTCCTCATCAGAAACAATCACAAAGAACTGCCTCAAGAAGCCATAATAAATTAAATAAATTTTTTAAGAAAAAAAGCTATTGTTAAAAGCATGTTTGATGAAGCAAAATATTACAGTCTTACATATCAAGTCAAATATTATGTCCTTACCTGGATTGTTTGCCTATGTTGTTTGTAGATATTAATCCGCACAATTGCTTTCTTGTAATCCGGATTAGAGCTTTTGACCACGTCATAGTCCATATGTTCCTGTAAAGGAAAGTCTTAGTTTCATGGTCATAAATTCTCAACAAGTGAACGGATCGATCTTAATTTATGAAGAACTCCGGACCTTGTACTCCAATGAATCAAACCCCTTGCAGATAAAATCAAACAAGGTCTTCAAATTTTCAGGACTTGGTGCTGTTACATAGATATTAGAATACCTGTAGATATACATTTTAACAATCAATACCTACAGAGGTTAACAGCAATTAAAGAAACACTTCTCAGATCATTCCTTCCGCCTTTGCTTGTTAGAAAAAGCAAAGGGAGGAGAAGAGGAGGGAGTTGCAAATACTACCCAGCAGCAACAGCTCCAGCAACTGCCAAACCAAGTGCTGCAGATTTACCACGACCACGAGCAGCAAGTAGGGCAATAGTACTACGGAGAGTCTTATCCAAGATGGCATCAAGAAATGTAATGACTGCTTTTCCCTATGCATACAATAATGTAAAATTAAGCACTTAAACTTCAAAACAGTCAATAGCCTCATAGGAAAAAAATATGAACAAAGAGGAAAAAACTTTATCTCTCATCTTATTTTCCAGTACCTGATCAAGGGTGCAACACTTTTTAATCAAAGGACCAACAGGAAAATCCTCATTGAGTTCCTCTTTCAAATTCTTTAAATCACGTTCAGCGTCTGAAAGTCCATCAGAGTCCTAAATCCCAAGCTCAAGTTAATAGAGAATGATTAATTGTAGGACAGGAAAAAAAATGGATGTTTGAGCCATACTAATTTTTTCCAATTTTATAAAACACACTTTGTAATTATCTTATGGATCTACGCTCGAGAAACTAGGTATTGTATACATAACTTTCTGGCTCTATCAGAACACTCTCAAATAGGAAAGACTACCTCTCTAACAGGAACAGGAGTGATTGACCTTATATGAGTTGAAATAGGTAATATATTCAACTCATCATCCATAACTACACATGATCTGCAGGAAGCAATTGATAATAAGAACCGTTCATTGAAGCGCCCTGTGGCATCAGAATGGGATTCTGTACGAAATCTCTCGTGAACATCCTGCACTTGTTTAAATAGATCAAAAATTAAAAAAATATGCATGAAAGGGAAGTAAATACACAGTTTTCATCCAGGGAAAGTGGGCTTAGAAGCAACTCATACCATAACCATGGTGCAAAGGCTTGTTAATGAAGACAGAGAGCGCAGGAGCAAAACAATCAGTCCTCCACCCTCCACAGTTTCTATAGTTCTTGCCAGAAGGTTTGGCGTCAATGCTTCAAAATCCTAAAAGCAGCCAACCAACAAATTATGAAAGCCACAAAGTACCAATTTAAGTAATCAATAAAATACAGTAAAAAGATGATCAGGTCAGCCAACAGAAAAATCCAACTACCTGTAGTATGCACATGCCAAAGGTATTACCAAGCACTCTTTCCGAATCTTTGTATAAACAGTATGTTATCCCTCCACTTTCGATAAAAAGAGAAAAAGGATCAACCTTCTCAGGATCTAAAAGTCCTCTCTGCATTAATTTCTTCACCTGCTTTGCACGTTTTTTCTTGTGGCTGCAGAAAGCACACCATATAGGTCATAATAATAAATGGTATGATAATAATACAGCCCAACTAATAGCATGTAACCAGTTGAATGCAAAAGAAGTAAATCTACATCCACAATGACATCATATCTACAACACTACTGAACAAAAATCACGAAAAAATCAACAGCAGGAACAACTAAATCGTCTAAATGAATACAACAATGAATAACGGAGAACCAGCTGAGACTAATTCATTAGTCCTCCCATCTTCTTGTATATAAGTAAAAATTTTCACAGTTAAAACCATCCTAGAGGCATCTAAGTGAGTGACCTAACCATATTAAACTACAAAACCCCGATTGTTCCGGGTTAGCAGTTAAACTCTTTGGGCACTTGCTTGACAATATAAAATCGAAGCAAATTCGGGAAAACTCTTATCCACTCCTATATTCCATAAAAACCCCAATTTGGGAAATTCCTCACACAAAAACCAACTAATTCTCATATGAAAAACAAAGCTAATTCAAGTTAAAAACAACCAATCTTCAAATTAAAAACAATTCAATTAATTAACAAGTAAAATAAAAAGCAATAAAACTGCAATAATGAGTGTTACCTGCTAAGTTCTAGCTTGTCTCTATAACACCAAAGCACAGTAGGCCTAGCCTTAACAACAGCTTTACTAAGCATATAATGAAGATTAACAATCTGTAGAAATTCAACAATAATTAAAATCTTCAACAATCAAATTAACGTACAAAAAACTCAAATTAATAGCAAAAAATTGATTGAAAATTAAAAAAAAGTAGAAAGAAAAAAGTACTTGGTCGCGAGATTTGTCACCGATGATGACGAACAAAGAACGGTGCCTGGTTTTGACGCCATTTTCGATTAGGGTTCGGATGCGTTCGTCGACCTTCTTCCTCATTTTTGGTGTTTCTGTGTATAAGGAAGAACCAGGGTTTTGGGTTTAAGAAACGGCCGCTAATTTTTAAGAGACTTTATTATGTTTTGTATACCTGTTTCGGTTTTGTCTTGTTTATCCTGTGAAAGCCAAGTCATGTTGGGGTCATATACTCGCATTAGGAATTCCCCTTGTGCGGAGGGATCCCTAATGTTTTCTCTTTTTCTTACTTTATTAAAAATAAAATTATTGGGGTAATATACTCATGATGGCAAGTTTTGAAAAGAGAATGGCAATTACTTATAGTTAAACCTAGTTTTTTTTTTTTTTTTTAAAAAAAATTAAAACTAATTGTACTTTAATATAATCTTTCGTGTTCTCACATGATAGTAAATGATAGTAAATAAATATAGGTTGATAAGGAGGGATACGTGTGATACAGTTATTAAATAATAGTATAAATATAGATATAAGTTGAAAAGTGAGTCTACACTCCTCTTGGAGAATAGCCGAAAGGTTAATGACCCCTTAGAGGGCTTAGACCATCCATCCAAAGGGCCCTTGAACACTCTAACAATGGAGAAAACAGGCACTATATATACCAGTAAATACTTCATTTTAAACATCTCTTGAATTTCTTACACAAGTGTACCCTCACTACTCTTATTGATTTTATAGTAGTCTTAGGGGATACGGTGCTCAATTGCGTTTTTATTTTGAAATAAAAGAAATGGAGTCGATTTTCACCAAGAGGCTAGTTCAAATTGATGTTCATGTCAAACAGTTATGGCCATATGAACACTTGAATCTTTTATACGGTTCATTAGTTTAATTATGTTTTTGTTTATCGTATTAATTTTGTTGGTTTGTGTAATCCTTGTGCCATTCTTTGAATTTACTTTTGTGGTCGTGATCTATGTTATTTCTTTTAATTGTTATGTTTGGGAGGTGGCTAAAGGATATGGTGGATCGTCTTGATCATGGAGGATGAAGGATTTGTTCTAGTCAAGGTTGGAAGTCGGTCTTTCTTACTATGGTGCTCAATTGCAGGTTACCTTTCCTCTGTTTCTCGTATATATTGGCTATGGTAATAACTACGCCCTCATATCCTCTACTTCCGGAAATAAATTGTCGGAAAGACATTTTGTCGTGTTATCATAATATTCGCCAAAATAGTCAAATAAGGCAAAAAAAAAAAAAAAATAGTGACAGAGAAATATATTGTAAAATTGCAGAAATATCCTCATTAAAATTTATCTTCCTACCTAATCATTAACGACTTTTTTTTTTGTTATTTATCACCTCTTTCCAATTCCTATTCCGAATACTTGCATCCCTGGTAACTCCCTCCATATTTTAATAAGTGGTTTAGGTCTTTAAGCATATAGTTTTAGGAGAAATAACAAAATACATTAATTTATTATTGTCATTAATAACCAGAGCAATTATTGGAAGAGACTTTCTCCAGAAAAACTTTTTTAATTATAATTTTATTTTATACACTAATATGTGATATTGGCGAAATTTAATCTCCAATAGTCCAATAGAGATAACAACACAAGTCATTTGAATTTCGATCAATTCGATCGTCTTCACATGATAGGTCTTATTCAGGTTAATCATATTTCTCAATTACCCTGTAACTTTTTACAATATCATAAATAATACAACTCACTTTTAATTCAGATCTAAAATAGTGTTCAAGTTCTATTAAAAAAAAAAATAGTGTTCAAGTTCAAGCCAAACATTTTGAATACCTGTGATAGAATCGGGTACGAGTCAATTTTGCCCTTCTTAAACTCAATTTCCAAACCCCAACGTGGTGGAATGACACAATTTGAAACCAGAAACCTTTACCAAATTGAGTAGCGTCATTTTTTCTGCTCCTCCACTCTTTCCATCGTTCCGACTCCATGGATATCGTCTTCCATTTCCCACAGTAGTTCCACCTTCTTCTGGTTCGAAAATGGCGTTTTTGTCAACAAATACTTTCTCTCTCCATTCATTCACCAACATCCCCTGCTCCAAATTATCGTCCTACAACGTCCGAATTTCTAAAAATAGCAATCCAAATTCTATAACATTCCCCAGAAATCAATCACTTACCTCTGCATGTATTCCTAAAAACAACTCCCAAACTTCAAACCCCACAAATTTAATCCCTCATTTACTCTCAACCCACAAAAAAATCCCCAAAATTTTGACTGAAAATGCTGTGAAATTGCTTGTTGGGTCCTTAATTTTGATGGGGTCTCTTAGTTTTAGTACACCAGTTAGGGCAGTTCAAGTTCAAAGTGGTGTAAATTTAGAGGAGGAGAGAGAAACCCAGAAAGAAACTGTTGAAGATGAAGAAATGTATGAGAAGTTATTGGAGCAAGAACCCAGAAATGTGGAAATCTTGAAGGTGGTTGTAAATTTGAAGATGAGAAAAGGGAAGACTAAAGAGGCTGTAAAATATGTTGAGAGGTTGATTGATATTGAACCTGAACAAGTTGAATGGAGGCTTTTGCAAGCTCTTTGTTGTGAAATGATGGGGCAATTGAGTACAGCTAAGAGATTGTTTAAAGAAATTCTCAAGGAAAGACCACTTTTGCTTAGAGCTTTGCATGTAAGTTTGCTAGGGTTTTATGATTAATTATCTTAATTTGATTATGTTTGCAATTTGCTTTAGTAGATGAATGTTAAATGCGTTGTAAAATTTGTTGGAATTTTATGGGATAATGGAGAATGTGATGTTGTGGTTGTAAATGTTGTTAGTTGTTGGTTTGGATGAAAGTTTGATTTTGCTAATGAGGTTGAACAATGTCAATTGTTGGTATGAATGCACGATAAATAATGTCGATTGTAGAATGCGCGATGTTTATTGATTGTTGGGAAGTTAGTATTGTAGATTGTGAATTATGAGAATGCATAGTATGATGCTGAGGTCGTGATTGTAATATATCTGTTGAACAAAGCTCTAAAACTTGCTGTTCGCGAACAAAGTACTTTATACTGCTGTGCTGTGTGTGTTATGGTAGGTTAGTAGTGTAGATTGTGGATTATGAGAGTGCATTTTTGGAGCTGAGACTGCATTTGTAGAATGATTATATTGCTGTGTTGTTTGTGTTTTGGTAGATTTGTAGTGTAGATTGCAGATTTTGATAGTGCATTGTATGGGGATGATGTTTAAGTGTCCCGAAGTCTAATTTTCGTTGTTAAGTCCCCAAAATTAAGATAGCCATAGTTTAAGGGGATGTTAAGTGCATTGTTTGGGGCACAGATTCTGGTGGCTTGAAGTTAATCTGTAATATTAAATGCTCCAATTAAGGGTGTTTCTGATTTATATTATCACGTAGGACATTTGCTTATCTTTTCTCTCCTATCTGTCAGGGTTTGGCAATGGTGATGCATAAGAACCATGAGGAGGCAGCAGTTTTTGATATGTTGAACGAAGCTCTTAAACTTGCTGTTTGTAAAAAAAGGGTTGCTGAAGAGAGAAATATCAAGATTTTGATTGCACAAATGCATCTAGTAAAGGTGATATTGAAATTATCGTTTGTTGTACTCCTTCACTATGTTTTATCGTATGACTTCATTACTTTTCTTCTTAGTGATCGTACTATCATCTATATTTTTGAAAATTTAATCAGCTATAATACAAGTGACAACTGAAATAGGAAAATGTTTGACAAGACTATCAGATTTATGTTGCCATTTTTAACACCTCTATCAATTACTGCTGTGGTTTATAGTTGTTTCCCTGTAATGTGTCAAATTTGATGTTATTTAAGGATGCCTTAAGAGTGTCTAGATTTCCATGTAAATTTCAAGTGCTATAATTTTTCAAGTTATGCAAAGAATATGTGTCTGTTGAATTAAGGCCTATATATATATATTACCACCGTGACCACCAACATCAACATCTTGATTACTTTCCCCTAAAAGTAGAGCGTAGGGAGTTTGAGTCAGCCAGGGCAGCCAGCAGCCTTTACTCTTACTAATCTGAATTGGGTAGAGAGATTGTGTTTCATTGGCCCACAAAAAATATTTTGGAAACCGACTTTCCCAATTATATACCAGAAAGGCAGAAATAATAAGAATGTTATAAATATCTCATGGGAAATCTGTTACAATCATATAGGGATTACTAAAGACACATATGGAGGGAACTAACCAAATTTTGAAATAGGTGAGCAGTGCGCCAGAGCATGGTAATGTTACAAAGTTGAGTGAATTGAGGTGGACCTTGTAACGTTTATGCAGAGATACCTAATTTCTTAGCGTAGCATAGATTTCTGGATACTTATTTGAAAGGATGTATGTGCCCAAAGTAGCATGAATTTCTGAATTATTAGTTAACAGGGTGCATGTACTTAAAATAATGGGCATGGGATACTTTTGATAATCTAGTATTGACCTCTTACATGGTCATATGTATTTGTGTTTATTGCAGGGGAATTTCGATGAAGCTTTGAAGAAGTACGGAGATCTAATTGCTGAAAATCCTCGAGACTTTCGACCTTACTTGTGCCAGGTTAGTTTTCACGATAACTACAAGCATATTGCACTCTTCAAGTCAGATGTCAATAATCTAGATTTCACCTTGTCTTCCGCCGTTGTTATCCTCCTATCATTTTCACAAGCTTTGAGTTTCTTCTTTGTAGATACTGCCAGAGTCCATGGCCTAGCTGGCTGCCTTTAATTCTTGTTTTGTTTTTCTTTTTAGTGACTATATTCTATGTAAAGAACTCATGCAAATAACCTTAGGCACCTATGATATTGTTCATCTATGCAAATGTCCTGACTTGCTCAATTTTTTTAAATATTGAAGCTCCTTGTGATTGGTAACCTAAATTGAGTGAAGGAAATCATGCTTTGGATGGATTTTTTTAAAGATGTTTTGGGAAGCAGCAAGTTAGGAGGGAAGGTTGAATTATAAGGACTACTTTTGAACAATTAATTTAGAAATTGGAATTATTTGACCCTCTATGGCCCCTAGTTGTTTTGTTGAGTGGTAAACTTGTTATAGTAGGTGATTTTCTTAAGATGCTCATTAAGTATAGAATCGTTAGAAAATAAATAATTAAATACTACTGGACTTTACGAGGATTGTGATTGGCTACATGTAAAGGATGGGCAGAACAAGGAATTAGAAACATGAAGTATGCTACTTTTAAATGAATTGGCTCACATGGTGTTACCATGAAATGTTAACATTGCTGACTTGAGGGGGTTGTTTATTGTACTTTCTGTCTTCTGTAATTCAGTGCATTGGCTTTTTGTCCTCCATGTTGTTCTAGTCTGTTAGAGTACCAACCTGAGATCTCTGCTAGCCTCGGATCTTTGGATCTTGCATCCTGTTATCTAGTTGGCTGCTCATTCAATTTAATCAAGTAATCATTCATATATCATATTTCAGGGAATAATTTACAGCTTACTGGACAAAAAGAAGGAAGCTGATGAACAGTTTGAGATTTACAGAAATCTTGTTCCAGAAGAATTCCCACAAAGAGGATTCCTTGAAGATGTTGTAATGGCAGCAAAAACAGAATCGAGAGAACAGCTAGAGAAGGAGTTTAAGTCTCAGTTTTCATATAAGAGATAACTAAGTTTTGAATCTGTGGTAAGATTCTTTAGCTGTGTTATTATATTCATGGCTATGTCATTGACCCTTGTAAGTTGGAATTTGCCCTCTTCATTAAAATCTGTAAATTGACTGTAAGTGAATTCAATGAGAGAGCTGCTGCTTGTGATAAAAATAAATGACTATTCATCATTAAGGCAGCCATGTCATCTGTGGAGATCCTAAGCTTTAGCAGGTAAAGGAAGCCATATAAAACTATGTTGCAGGCTGCATCTTTATTTGCATATCCACTAGACCGCTACCCTGCACCTAAACATGTTGATTTTGTTTCTTCGTTACATGAGCAGATGGAAAGGGTTTGTTAGCAGAAAGCTACTCCTTGTGTCCTTTAAAATAAACAATCAAGGGTAACATAGGAAAATTCAAAGTGTAGCAACTTAGCTAGAAAGTGGCCTGTGATTTGAGATGGCTTAAAAAGGTTGTGGGAATTTCGCCTTTCATATAGTTACTCAGTCTATAAAAAATATTTACTATCTAGGTCTCATAATTTATGAGACCTTTAGCCTGTAATAGATCATCGAGATAAAGAAAATGATGTCCATGACATTACAATCTAAATTACTTTATTATGAATTTGCTGATTTATTTTTCCATTGTTTTCTTGTACAGGTCCCTGGCTGAGTTGATGAACCCCTTTGCTAAGAAGATCCTGTCTTAGGCAATTATGGAGGCTGGAAGCTCTTTATTTTTCGAGAAATGACCTGAAAGTCACCAGGAACCACAAGCTAACCTCACTATCCCTTGCCTACAATGGCATTGTGTGTACATATAATTTTCACTTGGTAAACTGAAAGTGTTGTTTGATGTATTTAGAAGTGTTTGTTAAACATGAAGCTCCTTTTTCTGACTGATAATCTTGTAGACACTAGCCTGTGCATGGATTCTTGCTGCAAAATGTTAGAAAATTTTGTTTTATTATTCTTGAAAATGATATTTGGTGGTTGAAATTGTTTATTTGTAATTTGGATGATTTATATTTTTTCTCAAAGATCTTTTTGCTTGGATCTAACATGGTCTATTGTCAGCTCAGGTGAAGTACATAAGAAATGGGCAAGTTGTAGGTGAGACTATCTCTCGCTAATTTATTGTACATGACTATATTATACAAGAAAATCCTTGTATATGACTATATTGTACAAGAAAATCTGATAAGAGTTTATTACCTCAGGATTCAGGACTAAGGACTAACTTGGGATACCTTAAAGCAACAAAAACAACATAAGCGTAAAAACCAAAAGAACAGCCTCTGTTGGAACCATGCTAATCCTTATTGCCGCACTTACAACCTCTATTGGAAATAGGCACCCTTGTTGGGAGGCATTGGTGGACGTAATCGTAGCAAGGCCGTCAAACTGGCAAGCTTCGACACTTTGATCATTCATCTGGAAATACATGTTGAAGGCATATGAAATGTTACCATTAGCATCAAGGTCATTGCATGAGGACCCATAACCGAGGGAAGTGCAATCCGACCTTGAGCATGCATACTCTACGGAGCCTACTATCTTATCTTGGTTCTTTGCGTCTGTGTTGAAGACACACCATTTAGACTCCATGTACTGCACCCCCTTAGCACCAATGGGCATCTTGTCATTGCCCTTGCCATTAAGGTCCATTGGAAATTTAGGTTGGCCATCGTAACGGAAGATCCCCCAGTGCCTCTCAAAATCACCTGGGTCTATGCTCTTCATGTTCTCATCAAGCAACCCAAAGAGGTAAGCCTGAAACAATGTTTTGTGTAGAAGGTTAGGGATACAGTTCAAATTGAAGAATACTAGCATATTTTTCATTTTATGAACTAAATATGGATATAAGATGAACCAAAACAATCAATTTAGGTTATCTCTGATTCAAAATGTGGCACTAGGGTTGTCTGCTAAACTTGATAAAAATTACCCTATCGAATTATATTAGTAAAAGATATCCAAAATTCAGGTCTGATTCAAAACCCCATATGTATTGCATGTAACATATTTAAATCGAAAGAAAAGAGGGAGATATGAAAGAGCTGAGTGTTGCAATACCTCCATCGGCCCTGGCCGCATTGGGGTGCCCTTGTTAGAAGCCAACTTCTTAAGCAAACCATCATAGAATTTCTTGGCTAACTTAGTAGTGGCTTTAATGTGTCCATCAGTAGGCCATCCAATCTCCCCAACAACAATCTTCAAATCCCCATAACCATTCTTCTTCAACGCTGAAACAAGCGTATCAAAATTAGCATCAAACACATTACTATACGTGTGACTATTGTCGTTGATAGTTTTAGCACCTCCATCAAAGAAAGCAAAATCCTCTGGGAAATTCGGGTTTTGGTAAAGACTAAGGAAAGGGTAGATGTTGACAATGAAAGGTGCACCCTTTTCTTTGAGGAAGCCTACGATGTCTAGCATGAGATCCTTTACATCTCCTCGAAAATCACCACTTGAGGGCATGGTTGAGGATGACTCGTACACGTCTGCATTGAGGGGAACAGAGGCCTTAATATCTCCATGGCCAGATTCTTCAAGAGCCTTCATAATGTTTTGTAAAGCAGGGAATGTTGTTTGCTTGAAACTATCATTGTAACTTGTCAAAAGTGGTTCATTTCCTACAGCTACATACCTGCAATATAATTATTATGAATCAAACTATATACTATAGGAGGAGCATATAATTATGATTAATATATCTTGCAAAATCATACATTGAACTGATCATACATATATATTACCTTATGTTAACTCCTCCATCATAAAGATGTTTGGTAACATTTTTCTTAACCCATTCTTTAGCATGTTTATACTTGTTCATTCGGCTAAGCATGTCATTAGGGATGGCAACCATGACTTCAATCCCCGTCCCAGCCAAGGCATTAAGTGTAGAGGAATCAGCGTCGAAAAGCTTCACCTTGTTTAGGCCATTGTCTTTCAACATGCCAACCACATTGGATGGTGGTAGTGGATGTGATGCTATGTTTCCCCAGTTTACTCCTATATTGTCTTTTTGATCTGCACCATTGACCATAGCCACTAACATAATGAAGGTCCATAGCCATAGGACCATGGCTCGAGCCATGGTTTGTCGATGGTCCGAGACAAGGATGGATTTCTTTCAAAAATGAAATTTGGATTTGCAAAAAGAGGAGAATCTAGTTGGCAAGGAGAATATAGAGGAAGCAAAAGTTTTGAATTAGGTGTAAAAAGATGGTATGGAAGGTTGGGAGAAAACAAAGGTAGTTTTTTTTTATTGAATGTCCTTTGTACGCATTTTTAAGATAAATATAGTTTGTTTTAACTTACTATTTTTTAAGTTGTTTTTCCTCCATTTCAAGCAATGATTACATATTTTGCTAAAATTCTCTCAATTTCTAATTTCGGTGTTTTTAGAATTGTAACGCATACATTTTTTTTTTTAAACAATTCAAATTGTATATTAAAATTGTATTTTGGATTTATGTTTTTTTTGTTGTATAATATCGTAGTAGAGTAAAACCTTGTAGGAATAATGAGAAATTCTCAATAAACGCTCGTATTCTCTATCTAAGAAGAATTTTTTCTAGTTACCACTTGTATGTTGCTAAATCGAGATTTATATTATACCAATGTGGCGATCCATTTCCACTTACCAATCTTGTTTTACAACTCTCAAAGGAGAATAAGTACAATGCTTAGAAATTGAAAATCCAATGATTTTTGTTTTTATTACTACAAAATAGGGTAAAACCCAACCTTTTATTGAAATTACGATGAAATTAAACGTGACATATTCACTCCTAACATCACCTCTTAACATAATTCAAGATCTATCGATAGAATATGACGATGGTAAGTTCGGTAATTTGATCAACTATGTGATCGGCTAACCAATTCACCACTGGATTTGCTTAGCTTCTCTATAGTAATACATGCAAACAACTTCCCAATCTAGTAAATTGATTAACTTTCAAAGTAATCGACCACACGGACACATCCACCCTTGTAATCTACTTAGACCTTGTGAGATGTAGAGGTGCCAATTGATCATCTAGTATGACTTAACTTCCAATCTTCCATGTAGACGATGTAGTGTTGAATTCAATTCATGCCATGCTATTAGGATAATTCAAGTCGGGCCAATTTCGTTAGGTCCGTCACAGAAACTAATGAAACAAAACTTGAGTTGGCCCTCCCTTGTTACTTTCTTGATGGCCCAATTTTTCATATCAAATTAAGAAACTCAAAGCTCAATAAAGCCCACATTCAAATTCTCTCTCCTCTCTTTATCTTCTCCGTTTTGCCGGAAAATCCTGCAAAAACGCTGCAACTCTCTGTTTCAATCCCAACACTCCTACTTCTTCCATTGGTACTTCCTAATTTTTCTCTCTTAATTGACTGAAAGTTTCTTTCTTTGACTTAATAATTGTGTTCCTTTGCTTCATATACTAGTATAATTGTCAACATTTATAATATTGGAATTATGCAATTTTTTCCCTTTGAATGCATGTAGTTGAATTTATCACATTTTAATTGCATTTCTATGTATTAATTCTCCTCAAAATTTTATTTCTTAAAGATTTTTATCACACTTTTTTCGCTGTTTAATTGCTGAATATTTTGCTGTATTATTTGGGTAATAAAGGAGGTTTTTGCAACTGGGGATGGGGCCTTTGACCTTAGCCATTGGTAACAAAAACTCTTCAATGGAACAATCAGGTACTATATTATATTTTCAGGGGTTTAAGTTTACAATATGCTATAATGTTGTAATATTCTTAAGCTAATTTTGTTAGTAATAAAATATAATCATGATTCTTAAAGGTTTATTTTAATTAAATTGAATATGACCCAGTCAATCGAACAACCCATTTTCAAGATATATATTTATAAGCGAGATTATTCTGCAAAATTTTATTGGGTTTTATGAGAAGAGATAGAGAGTGTGATTTTGTTGCCGGGTTTAAGAAATATAAAAAGGGAGTGTAGTTTTGTTACATAATTTCATATTGGATGAAAATTTGTTTTGGAGTTCGTTGAGGGTTTGTATCAGTATGCTCCAGGAGTGTAGGTTTGTTACACAGTCCTATAGCTTGTGCATAATCTGGACCGCCTTTACTGGGATTAATGAAGTTTTGTTGACTTGTGTTGATCGCGCACCACCTCATATTACAATGACCATAGGTGCTGGCACATTAGACTCTTTGAAGTTTCCTAGAATATGTAAAGGACCTTAATATCAAGTGTTGACGTCTGATTGTATGTCAATTATGCTGTATAACTGTACTACATGACACGGAGAAGACAGGTGATGCAGGTGTAGCAAATGCATTGATGAAATTGAGCTTATAGCTTAATTTTCGCAGTCATTAAATGAGGTCTAATGTTGCTACTGAGAGCTAAAGATCTTTGGCCTTCTTGTTTTTGACATCTCTATGACTTGTTGATCTGATTGATCTACCACATTTATGATCGCTTCTAAAGTGATGTAAGCATTTTGCAGATATGGCAGTGCCAAAAGTGCAAAATTTATCAACAGGCAGTAGGGTGTCTTTTGCTTCTGTTAGCATCGGAGAAGAAAAGCCCTTTGATTTCATTCAGACGTTGATAGGTATTCTCTAAGATTCCGACTCATTCTTCTTTAATTGATAAGGGAGAAAACTTGTGTTCTTGTCAGAAACTGTTTAAGGAGCCTGAATCACATGTTTGTATCACTGAATGCTGATTAATGCACTGGAGGTTGTTGGTCACATCTTCCTGTACTATATCATTGGATAAAAGAACTCAAAGTAGCTATGACTGTGAACTTTTCGAACTGATTTTTTAGTGTTATCTCTCAAATAGTATCAAGATAGCTCTTATATCAACTTTGCATCTACTTGGACATGCTTCCCTCCTCCCCCTCCCCCCTGTTGAGTGTTGCAGATACTAGTTTAGGTGTTCATATCTTATGCCTTTGCTTGTTGACAAGTTGCTTTTGAGTAAGTTGAACTGTCTAAAGTTAAATTACCTCTGCTCTGATTTGCCTGTTCTGGTAGATGGCATTATTGCAGGAGGTACTGCTGGTGTCGTTGTGGAGACTGCTTTATACCCAATTGATACAATAAAGACTCGATTGCAGGCAGGTCGAATACAATTTATTTTTTTCTGTTAATCTTAGGTTGTAGCATGTTCATCGCAATAAGCATATGCTATTAAATTTCTTTTTTCATTATTTTTTTAGGTCAATACCAGTAAAATTGAATCTAAAGCAAAGATTTCAACTTTATGATAGGTAGCACGTGGCGGAGGGCAAATTGTCTTGAAGGGCCTTTATTCTGGATTAGCTGGAAATCTTGCGGGAGTCCTTCCGTACGAATTTTTTTATGCCTTATTAAATTAACAGTAACAATGAATGACTTCTGCTTCACATAATTATTTTTATATCTTTAGCAGTTGAGATGAAATTCTATCCTTTTTACAAACACATACAATTAAAGTTATTCCTTGCAATGACACACCACACTATTACTTCTGAAGTGATAACTATTGGTTTTCTAACCCATATTGCATGTTCACTCAACCTCGGAAAGCAATTTCATGATTTATCTATGCCTCTATGGACTGTCTTGGTGATGTAATCCTACTTATGTCTGTGATTATGGTTCTTGATTTCTCGATCTCTTTTATGAAGATAGAAAATAATGGTTCTGGGGTAATACACTGTCATGATTCAGCGCATTGTGGTCATGGTTTGTATCCAATATGTATTATGCTCCTAAATCTTTTATAATTATAAGGGATTTATAGTCCTTTGTCATTGCAGAGCTTCTGCTGCATTTCTGGGTGTTTATGAACCAACAAAGCAAAAGTTGTTGAGGTTGTTACCTGAAAATCTAAGCGCAGTTGCACATTTGGTAGGTATCATACCTTTTGTTTTACTCTTTTGACTTCTGAAGATGTCATTATTTGTAGTTTGCCTGTAATTATTTTGTTTTTGGTACTATTAAAGTAGAATTAAAGTGTGATCCACTATATAGTGCTACTTAACTAACATCCAAATTATACCGATTTATAGTCCAGGTTGATAATATGTGGGTAATGGTTGTGCCAATTGCCTGTACGGGTGTACTCTATGTTACTACACTTCGACTCTTCATATTGTCTTTCGTACCCAGGACACTTGACACTCCAAAAAGGGTCTGGAATCCTTATCTGGCACTTCAATGCTGGCCCAAACACTTCAATGCTGGCCCAAACACTTCAATGCTCACCTAAACACTTCAATTATCTTTAATCACATAACTGTAAAAGAAAGCGTGAAAAGAGGTGGGAAAAGTGTGTGGGATATGTGCTCACAGATGGTTTTGAGATAAGTTTTCAGGTTAGCGTGATATGTGTGTGTGTCTTTGTATACATTAGAATTAATGCAAAAACAATTCTTCTAAAAACAGGCTAATATGCAATGTCCAATTTTAGGACAGTGTCCTTTTGTCAGCCTTGACATGTCTGGATTTGTACCCACACCTGACAATCATACCCATGTCCGAGTAACATAAGATGTACCAGAGATATCTAACTTTGCAAAATGGAACTTGTGTTGCTTATGGTTCAGATTAGCTTGACATAAATATTCTTTCTAAATTTTGAAAAAGTTTCATATTTAGTACAGTAGTAACAGCACTGATAACCAATTCACAGTCAAAGCATTGACTGCTACGTTTTACTGTTTAAGGCTCCATCAGAGCCAGTTGATTTTTATAACCCTTAAACATATTTACATATGTCATTTCATTTGTTTTTTAACTTTTGATTTTAGCCCTTGGTCCGAATGAAATTGTTTGGTCAAGAATAGGAGTTAGAATGCGTTTACTTCCATTCACATGAATTTCACCAATCTGAATTTAGCAAAACTTGTTATATATTGAACTTAGGCAACTTTGTTTAACCCTTATTTGAACTTATCCTAACTTATTAGTCCTGAAATATGGTTCCGTTTGTTTTTCCATGGGAAAACAAAATTGTAGAACTAATTTTCCTTGTTTGTTTCCTTACAACAAAATATAGAGGAAGAGGAATATGGGAGTGGAAGGGAGAAGATGGATGGAAGGAGAGCAAAGGGATGTTAAGAGTAGGGAGAAAAATGTGGCATTCTTTCCTTTCAATAGGTAAATGTTTTACACTCATGGGAAAACTATTTTCCACCTTTGAGAAAATTATTTTTGACCCTTTACAAACCAAACAATAGAAATCTTTTTCTTGGAAAATGCTTTCCGTCAAAACAAACATAGCCTAAGTGAAATTAAGATAACGACAACGGGGTATTAATCTATTCCATAGAACTCTATCTATCTAGGTTGTGAGAGATATGACAGGTGGAAAAGTTTATCACTAGCTAGTGTTAAGAATTAAGGGCCTACAGCTCAATTTGAGATCTAGTTGTGTTTGGTCAGTACACGTGGAATGTGTGCAGGAGAAGGTGGGGCATCTTTAGCTTATTATGTTGTGAGAATGTGAGAAGCTACATCATTAGCTGTGGCTTGTGGCATTATTGAACATTAATTTGAC